CGGCGTCTCGTCGCCCGGCGGCGGCCGCGTCTGGACCGCGGCCGCGACCGTCGTGCCCCGGCGCGTCGTCGTTTCCACGGCGCACGCCCACTCGCCCATGGCCGCGCCGAAGCAGCGCAGGGCGTCGCCCTCGCGCAGGCGCATGACCGTGGCCACGTAGCGGTGCTGCGCCGGCGACAGCTCCCAGACGCTCGCCGCGTCCGCCGTGCGGTCGTCGCCGAGCCAGAGCCGCGGCGCGTTGGTGTGTGGTGCTGGCGCGAGCGCGACGGCGACGGTGCAGCACCAGGCGGCTGCGAGGGCGCGCCGAGGCAATGCCATAACTCAGGGTTGAAAGTCAACAAACCTTCAACGCCGCAGCATGTCTCGTTGACGTGGCTGGTATGGAGGCAGCCATCTGAGGCAGCCATCTGAAGCAGCCCCAATTCCTCGTCGCGGTCGAAACCTGACAGAGAAGAAGCCCAAGCTGCATGGACCTCCGAGTCGAAATCATCACCGCCGCAGCCCGGTGCGACATCGATGGGCTGGCGAACCTCCTCGACGGCCGCCGCGTCGAGGAGGACTGCTGCGGAGGGACTCTATATAGGAGCGAGGGAGGAGTCGTGCGGGGCGCGCTGCCGCGGCCGCTCTGATTTCGCCTGGGGTCCTCGCGAGATGTGCCTCGCTGTCGACGAGGAGCGTCGCGGCTCAAACCTGAGCCGAGGCGCCTCGACCGAGTCGAAACTCGCGCTCGACGCGCGCCCGGAGACTGCGCGCGAGGCCCGCGCACGCCAACATGGCCGACAACGACGACAGCGACGTGGAGATGGACGGCGTCGACATGGAGGCCGACGACGCGGTGCAGGAGGAGGAGGAGGACTACGAGGAGGTGGCGCCCGCGCCGCCGGCGCCGTCGTCGTCCATGGGGACGCGGGGCGGCGGCGGGACCGTCGTGGCGCCGCCGCCGAAGAAGGCGCCGAAGAAGCAGGACGCCGCCTTCGAGGCCGCGCGCGCGGCGCAGAAGGAGCGTTTGGCGAACATGAAGGAGTTCGGGACGACGATGGAGGGCGTCGACGTGCAGCAGCAGCGCGACAAGCGGCTCAACTACCTCATGGCCCAGTCCGAGGTCTTCAGCCACTTCATGGAGGAGAACTCCGACGGCGGCTTCAAGCGCGCCAAGGCCAAGGCCGGGCGGACGCGGATGACGGAGTCGGCCGAGGACGCGAATTTGATGAAGACGGCCCAGTCGAAGCTCCGCGTGACGCGCGTCCAGACGCAGCCGAGCATCATCACGGCGAAGATGCGGCCCTACCAGCTCGAGGGGTTGAACTGGCTCGTGAAGCTGCACGACAACGGCATCAACGGCATTTTAGCCGACGAGATGGGCCTCGGCAAGACGCTCCAGTCCATCTCGCTATTGGCCTACCTCCACGAGACGCGGGGCATCACGGGCCCCCACATCTGCATCGTGCCCAAGAGCGTGACGAACAACTGGATGCGCGAGCTCCGGAAGTGGTGCCCGACGCTCCGGCCCGTGAAGCTCCTAGGGTCCAAAGACGAGCGCGCGCGCGTGCTCCGCGAGGACCTGCGCCCGGGCACCTTCGACGTCCTCGTGACGTCCTACGAGGGCATCCTCAAGGAGAAGGCGGGCCTCATGAAGATCCAGTGGCAGTACCTCCTCATCGACGAGGCGCACCGCATCAAGAACCCGAATTCGTCGTTGTCGAAGATCGTGCGCCTCATCCCGACGCAGTTCCGCCTCCTCATCACGGGCACGCCCCTCCAGAACAACCTCAACGAGCTCTGGGCGCTGCTCAACTTCCTCCTGCCCGACATCTTCGCGTCCGAGGCCGACTTCGAGACGTGGTTCAGTCTGGGCGACGCGGACGCGAAGGACAACGTCGTCAAGAAATTACATACCGTGCTCCGGCCCTTCATGCTCCGGCGCATCAAGAAGGACGTCGAGAAGGACCTGCCCCCGAAGCGCGAGGTCAAGCTCTACATCGGCATGACGGAGATGCAGCGCCTCTGGTACACGAAGATCCTCTCCAAGGACGCGCACACGCTCAACGCGCTCGGCGGGCCGGACCGCGTCCAGCTCCTCAACATCCTCATGCAGCTCCGCAAGGTCTGCAACCACCCCTACCTCTTCGAGGGCGCCGAGCCCGGCCCGCCCTTCATGGACGGCCCCCACCTCTGGGAGAACACGGGCAAGCTCGTGCTCATGTCCAAGCTGCTCCCGAAACTCATGGCGCAGGACTCGCGCGTCCTGATCTTCTCCCAGATGACGCGCATGCTCGACATCCTCGAGGACTACATGCGCCTCAACCAGTACAAGTACTGCCGCATCGACGGCTCCACGTCCGGCGACGACCGCGACTCGCAGATGGACGTCTTCAACGCGCCCGGCTCCGAGAAGTTCGCGTTCCTGTTGTCGACGCGGGCCGGCGGCCTGGGCATCAACCTGGCGACGGCGGACATCGTCGTGCTCTACGACAGCGACTGGAACCCGCAGGTGGACCTGCAGGCCATGGACCGCGCGCACCGCATCGGCCAGACGAAGCCCGTGACCGTCTTCCGCTTCGTCACCGAGGGCACGGTCGAGGAGAAGATCATCGAGCGCGCGGACCGCAAGCTCTTCCTCGACGCGGCCGTCATCCAGCAGGGCCGCCTCGCGGAGCAGAACGCGGCCCTGGGCAAGAACGACCTCATGGCCATGGTCCGCTTCGGCGCCGACGAGATCTTCGCGTCGAAAGCCAAGACCATCACGGACGAGGACATCGACACGCTCCTCAAGCGCGGCGAGGAGCGGACCCAGGAGCAGGCGTCGAAGATCCAGTCCGACGTCCAGCACAACCTCGCCAACTTCTCGCTGACGACGATGGAGGAGCCCGAGGGGTCGCTCTTCAACTTCGAGGGCGAGAACTACAAGGGCGCCAAGGGCGGCGGCGGCCTCATGATCAACCTGCCCCAGCGCGAGCGCAAGCGCAACTACGACGTCGACGAGTACTTCCGCGACGCGCTGCGCCAGGGCGACAAGCCCGCGGTCGCGCGCGAGCCGCGCAAACGGCGGGGCCCGCCGATGCACGACTTCCAGTTCTTCAACCGCGCGGAGTTGGAGGTGCTCCTGGCGAAGGAGGACGAGCTCGCGGGCAAGAAGCACGAGGCCGTGCTCTTCATCAAGGAGCTGCGGAACCGGGCGAAGCAGCAGGAGGACGACGACTGCGAGGAGAGCAAGCGCGCGGACGAGATGGAGGCCACCCTGGAGACGGCCTACGAGCTGCCCGTGAAGGAGGCCGTGCGCAAGGAGCGCCTCCTGAAGGAGGGCTTCGGGGACTGGACGCGCAAGGACCTGCGCGCCTTCCTCAACGCCATGGAGCGCCACGGCCGCGGCGACGTCGACGCCGTCGCGCGCGAGACCGCGAACGAGACGGGCAAGACGGACGCGGACGTGCGGCGCTACCACGCGACCTTCTGGAAGAAGCACAAGGACATCGCCGACTGGGAGCGCCTCGTGGACAAGGTCGAGAAGGGCGAGAAGCGCCTCCAGCGGTCCCAGGAGATCCGGTCCGCGCTCGCCGACAAGGTCGCGCGCCACCCCAAGCCCTGGGAGTGCCTCCCCATCAACTACGGCGCGTCCCGCGGCAAGGTCTGGACCGAGGAGGAGGACGCCTTCCTCGTCAACATGATGCACACCTACGGCTACGGCAACTGGGAGCGCATCCGCGTCGAGATCCGCAACGCGTGGCAGTTCAACTTCGACTGGTTCTTCAAGAGCCGCAACGCGCAGGAGCTCAACCGCCGCGCGGACTTACTGATTCGCCTCGTGGAGAAGGAGAACGAGGACCACCGCAAGGACGCGCCCGGCGCCGCGCCGGCCGGCGACGCCGCGCCGGCCCCCGCGAAGAAGGGCCGGAAGCCCGCGGGCCGCCCGAAGAAGCGCGCGGCCGAGGCCGCGACGGGCGAGTCGCCCGACGCCAAGCAGGCCAAGCAGGAGGGCGGCGACGCGCCCATGGCCGACGCCGCGTGAAGCAAGCGCGCGAGAGCTCCTGTCCCCCCCCCACAAAACCCCCGCCGCGTAGACCACAGAGCTCTCTTAGACGTCGGGCATCGCGTTGCTCGTGAAGCCCCCGACGCGCTCGAGCGACGCGCCCGTGAGGAAGGGCAGGCTGCGGTCCGGCAGCTCCAGCGGCGGCTTCTCGCGCACCCGCTCGAGCAGGCTCGGCGCGTGCGACGACGACGTGCGGGCGCGGTAGAGGCGGATGGCCACGACGACGGCGATGGCGGCGACGAGCGCGAGCGCCGCGGCGTAGAGGGCGGCGCTGGGCGGCTGCATGGCGGCGCGCGGCTGCCGCGAGCGCTGGCGCTGCGAGTGCGCGACGCGACGTGCGAAGTGCTTTGGAGCTGCCGCACAATGTTTCGGCGCTTGCGGTTCTGGGAAGAGCTGCCCAAAAAGTGACAGGCCGACCTCAATAACCCAGATGCTGCCCCGCGCTCAAACTCGCGCAAAGGCTGCCCGCGCATCATCACAACTGTGGCTGCGCGCGCATCCGCACCATGCCCGAGCGCATCACGGTCAACGGCTACGACGTCGAGGGCGGCGTCGTGACCTACAACATCTCCGTGGGCGACACGCTCACGCTCACGAAGCGCTTCCGCGAGTGCGTGGCGCTCAGCGACGCGCTGAAAAAGGCCGACCCGTCGGTGGCGGCGCTGCCGAACCCGCTGCACCACAACCTGCGGTCGACGGAGAAGCTCGCGAAGACGCGCGTCGAGTCGCTCCAGGAGTTCCTCGCGGCGCTGCCCCTCGCGAGCCTCGCGAGCGAGGACTGGGCGACGTTCCTCGCGAGCCCGCCGAGCGACGACCCCGCGAGCCCGGACAAGGGGGGCGCGACCCTGCCGGACCCCGACGCGCCGCCGGCGACGCCCGCGGGCAAGGCCCCCGAGCGGCAGAACTCGCCGTCCTTCTCGGAGCACAACACGAGCGACGACAACGGCGAGCGCGCGCAGGCGCGCCGCTTCACGGAGGCGGGCGACGCGGAGGCGTCGGCGGCGGCCGTCGCGTCGGCGCTCGCCGACGCCGCCGTCGAGGAGGCGCCGGCCGCGGAGGCACCGCCGCCGCCGCCGGCCGTGGCCGTCGCGTCCGCGGCGGACCTCGCGAGCTTCGCGGCGGAACCGCCCGCGGGCGACGCGCCCGCGCCGCCGTCGGGCTTCGGCTGCTGGACCGTCCTCGCCGTCGTCTTCGCCGTGCTCTTCGCCTTCACGCGGTCGGGCTTCGACCCGGCGTCGCTCAAGCCCGCGGCTTCGGAGCCGCCGGCCGTCGAGGTCGTCGACGTGTCGGACCTGCCGGAGGCGGCGGCGGCGCCCGTCGGCGACGCGCTCGCGCCGACGTGGTCCAAGAAACTCTACGCGACCTACCTCGAGGCGCCCCACAAGGAGCTCAAGGCCGCCGCGCTCGCCGCCGCGACCGCGGGCGTCGCGCTCCGCGGCCGCCAGGGCGCCTAGGGGGGCCGCCGCCCCGAAACCCGCGCTCCCCCTCCCCCGGAACCCCACGTGTGACTCGCGCTAAGCAGCCCGCTCGGACAGCGGCGCGTAGGGCGGCGAAAACGGCGCGGAGCAACCCCGGAGCGCGAGGTGCGTGTCGTCGGCGAGGTCGTCGTAGAGCGGCGCGTAGATGGCGTTGAGGTCGTCGACGGTCGGGCCGAGGAAGTCGCCGTTCGCGACGGTCAGCGCGAGGGACCCCTCCCAGTAGAACGAGAGCACGGCGGCCGTGTGCCGCGTGCAGACGTCCGGGTGCGCGTCGTCGAAGACGCCGCGGTCGATCTCCGAGTAATCGAGGAAGTTGAGCTTCGGGAACGCCGTCCACGCGCCGCCGACGACGGACAGGACCCAGCGGTGGTGCGGCATGCCCCGGTAGGGCAGGCCGCAGGCCCGGGACAGCTCCCAGTACCGCGACGGCGTCGACACGAAGCCCCGCTTCCCGACGCGGCCGAGCATCTTGACCACCGTCGCGGGCAGCGCGACGTCCTCGAGGAAGTTCGTGCAGATCACGAAGTCGAACTTGCCGTTCGACGCGACGTGCGCGAGCACGTCGCCCCACTCCTCGACGTCGTTGGCCGTCGCGACCTTGAAGACGCGCTTCCCCGCCGCCTGGCCGCCGTCCGTCTGGTCCAGGAAATAGTCCGTCACCTCGGCGCTCCAGGAGCCCATGGAGCCGCCGACGTCCAGAACGGTAAAAGGGCCCGCGGCGCGCTTTTCGCGGAGGAAGTCCAGCACCTCGCCGTCGCGCGCGCGCCGCCGGTGCAGCCGCGCGCGCGACACGTTCGCCTGCGTCACGGGCACCGGCCAGCCGGACGCCTCGCGGTCCGCGGCGACGTCGCGGAGGATTCGGCGCATCGCGCATTCCAGCGGGTGGAGCCCGTCGCAGCCCGCCGGGAGCGGGTCCGGCATGTCCATCTGGTGGAGGTTCACGTAGGCGGCGACGCGGTCCCGCAGCGTCGCGCAGGGCTCGTCGTCGTCGTCGAGGACGTCGAGCGCCGCGCCGGTCGGCGTCGTCACCGTGACGCGCACGACGCCGGAGGCCGCGGCCGCGACCACGACGAGGCGCCGCAGCATCGAGGAATTCCTCAGCTTGATGACCAATGGGTAGTTTACCTCAGCTTGATGACGACGAGACGCTGCAGCATCTCACGCAGTCGAGCAGCCCACGAGGCATACGCTGCCCCAAGAGGTTCAACTTGATGTTCAAGGCCGCGGCCGGGGTGCCATCACCGAAGCGAGAAGGATTAACTCGAGCTCGACGCACTGCGCTGGACGTGCCGCGGCGCCGTCGCCGTGCGCTGGACGTGCCGCGGCGCCGTCGCCGTGCGCTGGACGTGCCGCGGCGCCGTCGCTGTGCGCTGCACGCGGCGCCGTCGCCGTCGCTGTGCGCTGGACGTGCCTCGAGCTCGCTGCACGCGGCGCCGTCGCCGTAGACGCCGCCGCGGCGCATCTGCAGCCATGTTCGCACGGTGCAGCAGCGCTATGCTGGCGCGACGCGCGCTGCGCCCGCGGACGACCGCGTTCTCCGCGGCCGTGGGCTGCCGCAGCGAGGCGTCGCGCATCCTGGGCCTCGAGGTCGCTACGTTCACCGCGGTGCAGCTGCGCGACGCCTACTACAAGGCGGCCAAAGCGTTCCACCCCGACGCATTCGACGGCTGCCCGCAGGAGGCCGGCCGCCTCTTCATCAAAGCCACCGAGGCCTACGAGCTCCTCGGCAGCGTCGCGGAGGGCGTCGTCGAGATCACGGAGAGCGAGGACGAGAGCTACCGCGCGGCCTGCCTCGCCTGGCTCGGCCTCGACGCGGACACCGTGGAGCAGAGCAAGCGGTGCCCCATGTTCCGCAAGTGGCTCTTCGTGTCCGGCGGCGAGGGCGCGATCTGGTGGCGCTGCTTCTTCGCGAACAACGGGGGATTGGCGCCGCGCCTCCGGCCGAAGCAGATCGCCGCGCCCGCGGGGCCCCGCCGGCGCACGTCGACGACGCGGTCCGCGACGCGCCGCCGCCGCCGCGCGCTTAAGGGTCCGTGAATTTAGGGCACGCGCCGGAGGCGGCGGACGAGCGCGTAGGCGGAGGCGTTCGTGTCCTCGTCGTCGAGGAACGCGATGACGCCGAGGACGGCGGAGAAACGGCGCGCCCGCGAGCTGTCGTCGCCGGGGAACAGCGTCGCGGGCGCGATGGCGAGCGCCTCGCACTTGCGGACGAGCCCGGACTCCGTGTTCAACGTATGGACGTAGCGGCCGCCGCTCTTGGCGTACGTCAGGAGCCCGCCGCCGCCGGGGAGGCGGGCGACGTCGATGGGGTCCTTGCCGGGGATCTCGAGCCGCGTCAGCGGCGGCGCGGCGGCGCCGAAGAGGTCCGCCAGCAGCCGCTCGGGCGGCGTCGCGCCGAGCTCGCGAGAGGCCTTCGCGTGCGCGTAGCGCCCGGGGCAATTCCTCAACGCCTTCCAGGTGGCCGCGTCCCAGAGAGATTGGAGCGCCGCGCCGCCGTCGCCGACGAAGTCGCCCGCGCCGACGAACGGGAGCGCCGGCAGCGCCGCGCCGCCGGCACCGACGTCGTCGCCCGCGCCGACGAACGGCCGCTCGACCGAGCCGCCCGAGCCTTTCGAGGGCGCCTCGGCCGTCATCCGCCGGCGGTCCCGCGGCCGGCCCAGGCCTCGCGCGGCACGAGCCCGCGGAGCTGGCTCGGCGTGAGGCGCCGCGGCCGCGCCGTGCCCGCGCCCTGGACCCGCTCGAGCGCCGTGAGCAGGAGCGCCGCGAGGATCGGCAGCGGCGACTTGGCCGCGACGGACACGGTGAGGGCTAAAATGCCGATGCCGGCTTTTTTTTCGAGCTGTTCGAAGTAGACGTTCTGGGTGGACCGCACCATCGATGAGTCCTGCCCAGGGAGGAGTCCTGCCAGCACGGACCGGCCCCGCCCAGCGGCAGCCGCGAACTTCTGGCGCAGCTCCAAGGCCAGTGCCTCAAACTCTGCCGCAACGGTGGGCAACGAAGAGTCACGAGTCGACGTTGGCGCATTGTTGAAGGAATCGACGCGTTGACCACAACACCATCATCCCCGAAAGGGACGCGCCCAGACCTACGCGGCCTTTAGAACTCACCGCCGCGGCGTGTCCGGCGTCGTCTCCCGCGGCGGCGGCGGCGGGAGCGGCGCGTTCGGCGGCGTCGACAGCACGGCCTCCCGCCACCGCTCGTCGTCGTCGAGGACCTCGGTGTCGACGCGGTCCCGGTCGTCGGCGGCGAGCGCCGCGTTGAGCGCCTCGACGAAGCCCGCGAATACCGACGTGAGCGTCGGCGCGGGCGGCTCCTCCTTTTGGTCCAAATCCGGCGACTCGGGCGGCGAGTCGACGCGCGAGAGCGCGACGAGGTAGTCGTCGTCGTCGTGCCAGGCGACCGTGCGGCGCGACTCCTTCTTCCGCGGCGGGCTCCTGCCGGCCTCGGGCCTCGGCCGCAGGGGCTCCGTGGGCCGGAACGGCTCGTCGTCGAGCGCGTCCGCGGGATCGGCCGCGCCGTCCTTGGACCGGCTCCGGCCCGTCCAGCGCCGCGGGTGCCAGGACTTGCGCCGCGCGAGGGACGACGCCGCCTTGGCCATGGCGGCGACGGGCGACGACGACGACGCGGACCGCGACGGCCGCTTCCGGGGGCTCCGGTCGTCGGGCTCCGGCGGCGGCGGCGCGCACTCGGCCTCCGTCGGCGCCACGGGGCCCTCGGCGACGACGATGTCGATGCACGGCGCCCCGCCCCGCAGCACCGCGTGGCGGTCCGCCGCGTGCGGCGGCACGAGGTCGTGCGTCACGTGGTCCCTCAAGGCTTCCGGCGCCGGCGCGTAGTGGCCCTCTAAACCGTCCATGAGCACGACCTTGTCCCGCGTGACCCTGTCGAGCATGCGCATGGACCCCCGGGCGAGGCGGCCGATCCAGGGCACCAAGGGGTAGACGAGGATGTTCCTCAGCCGCTCGGGATAGACGTTCGGGACGACGGACGCGACGCGCCTCAAGAGAGGCACGATCTTCCGCGCGGGCGGGTTCGGCCAGCGCGCGCCGCCGCGGCAGTCGATCAGCACGACGACCTTGCCGTCGTCGTTCGCTCGGAACGCCTCGTCCATGCGCAGGCAGATGAGCGCGACGTACGCCGCGGGGTCCACCGAAGGGTCGAAGCGCGCGCCCTCCACCAGCAAAATCTTGTCCCCGAGCGGCGTGCGCCCGCCGACGGTGACGAAGTGGAAGTTCGGCACGCGGGCCGCGCTCGCGGCGACGCGCGCGGCGCTGCCCTCCGCGCGCCGCCAGCCGCGGTACCAGTCGTAGATCCGCTTCGCCTCCAGAGGCTTGTCGATGTTGGCGACGCGGAAGCGCTCGAGCTCCCCGGGCGGCGCGTCGGGGAAGGCCCGCGCCCAGACCTCCCCGCGGGTCCACTGCAGCGCCTCCTCGTCCATGCTAGGCCGGCATGCCGTCGGGCGGCGCGTCGCGCGCGTGTCGCACTAGTCTTCTTCGACCCTTCTTTACGTCTGCGCCATCGAGTCGCTTCGCGTCGCGCGGCGACGCGCGTCGCGCTTCTCAGGGCGGCGCGCGCGCGAGGCTCGGCGCGGAGGCCAGCAGAAAAAGTCGAGCTGCGTTTGCCCACAGTGTACGAGGGGCAGCCGCGCTTGACGAGGCAGCATGCACGAGGGCAACATCGTGTGCAAGGCCAACTTTTCAGCGAGCTTTGCCGATGGCTTGTGGATCGATGGGCTCAACTTTGCAGCTTGCGGCGCTCCTCATGCTCGGCGGCGCGTCGGCGCTCGCGGCGCCCGCGTCCGTGGGCCCGGACAGCCTCTACGTCGTCGGCTGCGGCGTCATGGGCCAGAGCGTCTGCCTCCAGTGGCGCGCCGCGTACCCCGACGCGACGATCATCGGCGAGACGGGCGGCGACGCGTCCCACGAGCGGCTGCGCGCCATCGGCGTCGAGCCCGTCCTCCGGTCCGCCCGCGACGGCCGCGCCTGCGACCACGTGCTGTTCTGCGCGCCGCCGAGTCCGTTCGGCGACGACGAGTACGGCGAAGAGGTCGCGGCGGCGGCCGCGGGCTGCTGGGCCGGCGCGGGCGGCTTCGTCTTCGCGTCGTCCGGCGGCGTCTTCGCGGAGGACGACGGGAACGTCGTCACGGAGGGCGGCGCGACGGCGACGACGCCGCGCGCGTTGAAGATGCTCAAGGCCGAAGCCGCGGCGATCGGCGCCGGCGGCGCGGCCGCGCGCTTCGCGGGGCTCTACTCCCGGGCGCGCGGCGCCCACAGCTACTGGTACGCCAAGGGCGACGTCGCCGCGTCGCCGTCGGGCCTCATCAACCTCCTGCACTACGACGACGCCGCGGGCTTCGCGAAGCGCGCGCTCGAAGCCGGGGCGACGGGCGTCCTCCTCGCGGCCGACGGCGCGCCCCGCACGCGCACGGCCATCGTCGACGCCGTCGCGGGCCACCCGGCCTTCAGGGACCGGCCGCGGCCCGTCTTCGCGGCCACCGACGAGCCGCCGCGCCGCGGCCCCGCGGGCGGCGGGCGGATCTACGACTGCGCCGCGTCCGCGACGGCCGTCGGCTGGGCGCCGACCTACGCGACCATCGAGGCGTTCTTCGCCGCCGACGCCGAGGCGCCCTGCGAGGTCGCCGATACAAAGTAGGACACACACATCTGGGTTTAGCTGAGGAGCACGGAGGACGCCTGCGTCGCGCCGAGCATCTTCTCGTAGTCGCCGTAGGCCGACGACGCGCACAAGCACCCGAGGATGAGCACGAGCACGGCGAGGACCTCCGAGAAGTCGTCGGGGTCGACGGTCCGGTTGATCTTCGTGCCGCCGACGACGGCGACGGCGACCAACGGCAGCGCGACGAGCGCCTGCGCGGCCGTGGCCGCGTCGATGAGCCCCGCTTTCTGGAACTCCATCAGCGACAGCACCTGCACGGGCAGGAAGAAGCGGAGCAGCATGCACCGCAGCGTCGGCGGCGTCCAGCGCCGCGCCTGGCCCAGGACCACCGCCGCGGGCCCCGGCTCCGCGACGGCGCCGCCGAGGAAGCCCGCGGCGAGCCCGAAGGGGAACGCGACGGCCAGCGCCGCCAGCGACCCCTCGTCCTGCGCCGGCGCCGGCTCCGCGGTCTCCGCGCGCGCGACGTAGAGGTTCAGCGACCCGTAGGCCAGGAGCAGCGCGCCGACGCAGCCCCGAATCGCGTAGGGCGGCACCGTGACGAGCGCCCGCACGCCGAGCGGCACGCCGACGACCGCGCCGCCGAGCAACGCGAGAGACGTCGTCCAGCGGCCCGCGGCGCGCTGCGCGCCGCTCTGGATGTCGACGCTCGTGTTCGCGAGCGACATGCAGAAGCTCACGGAGACGACCAAGGGCGCCGCGCGCACGGCCTCGACGCCGAAGAGCAGCGCCAGGAGCGGCATGGCGATGATCGCGTCGCCGAAGCCGAAGACGGCGGCGAAGAGCGACGCGCCGGCCTGCAGGAGGGCGATGCGCATGTCGACGGCGCCGAGGGACGCGAAGACCTCGTCCTGGTAGCTCGGGAGGATGTCGAGTGCAGCCGTGGGCGCGTCCGCGAGCACGGCGGGATCGAGGATGTCGAGCGCGGCCGTCGGCGCGTCCGCCAGTAACGTGGGATCGACGACGAATGTGTGCGGGCTGCGGCAGCTGCGGCAGCGCGTCGCCGGGGCGACGAATGCGCGCGCGGAGCCCGCGAGCGCCAGCGCCGTCAGCGCTGCCATAGAAGCTCTCGAGCGTGCCATCTCCACAACAACCGGCTCGACTCAACATCAACCACTGCTCGACCGACCTCAGCTGGCTTCTCGCAGCCCAGCTAAGAGGCAGCCCTTCTCTCCTTCGACGCGTGCACTCTCGTCCGACGCAGTGACCAGCGTCGACTGCTTTCGCTGCCTCGACGGGCGCGCCGTCGTCCGACGCAGCAACCATCGACGACCATCCTTCGCGACGACCATCCTGCCAACAACATGCTGCGCGCCATCGACGCGGCCCACGGCAGCAGCAAGCGCCGGTCGCGGTCGAGGCCGAGCGGCACGCGCGATGCATCGCCGCTCCTGCCGGCCCTGGCCCCGCCGAAGCCGCCCGCGGAGGCCGTCGCGAGCCCGCTCGGCCTCAAGCGCCACTTCGCGGGCCTGGGCGAGCGGACGACGTTCCCCGCGCTGTCGCCGCTGCTCGTGCAGATCGAGGACCTGCTCAGCGCCGCGGAGTGCCGCGACCTCATCGCCGTCGGCGCCCGGGCCCTGAGCCGCGGCGCCGCCGGCGTCCACGCGGCCGACCCGGCGTGGCAGAAGTGGCGGACCTGCGCGGGCGCGTGTCTGACGGACGAGGCGCTCGCCGCGGCGACGCGCCGCGACGCGGACCTCGGCGCGCGCGCCGCGGCGACGGCGCGCCGCGTCGAGCAGCTCGTGGCGCAGCTGACGCGGCGGCCCGCGAGCCACCAGGAGCCGCTCCACATCGTCCGCTACCGGCCGGGCGAGGAGTACCGGCCGCACCTCGACGTGATCCCGGAGCAGAGCCGCATGCCCTGCGGCCCGCGCATCTTCACGGTGCTCATCTACGGCAACGACGTCGACGCGGGCGGCGAGACGGTCTTCCCGTCGCTGGACCTGGCGATCCGCGCGCGCGCGGGCCGCGGCCTCGTCTTCAACCCGGACGACGACCGGAACCTGCACGCGGGCGCGCCCGTCGTCCGCGGCGAGAAGTACGTCTTCATCACGTGGGTCCACGAGCACGAGTTCCCGGGCTAAGGCGCGCCTTAGACGTACTTCTCGATGCCCTCCGCGGGCCGCGCGCGCTTGGCGCCGTCGCCGCCGTCGTCGTCGTAGGCGCGGTCGTCGTCGTCGGCGGCCCAGATCGTGGGCTTCGTCGAGCGGCCGACGACGTCGTCGTCGTCGTCGCCCGGCGGCGGCGGCGGCGCGTCGTCGTCGTCGTCGTCGCGCGCGCGCTTCGCGCCCGCGGCGGCGGCCTCGCGCTGCTCGCGCTGCTCGCGGAGGATCTGGATCTTGGCCAGGGACTGGCCGTACTTGTTGCCGAAGATGTTGCGCTGGCCGCCCGACGCGCAGCCCCGGCAGCCCGTCGTCGGGCACTCGACGACCTGGTCGTCGCCGAGCGACTGCGGAGGGACGCGGCAGATCGACACGGTGCCGAAGTTGTAGTTGCGCGTGTTGATGACGTAGGTCGAGCAGAGCCGCTCGTAGCCCGCCTTCTTCCACTTGGCGATGAGCGACCCGTCGACGATCTTGTTCCGGACGCAGTAGTCGAGGACCTTCTTGTCGACCTTGCCGTACTTGTAGTGCATGTCGTAGACGTAGCGGCTCCGCTGCCAGTTGATCTGGTGCACGGGCCAGATGCTCTCCGTGCGCCGCTTGCCCTCGTGGGGCTCGTTGATCTTGTCCCGCAGCTCGTTCTCGAGCACCTCCAAAGTCTGCTCGAGGTACTCGAAGCCCGCGGGCTGCTTCCCCTTGCGCGCGAACTTGGACATGGCTCGCGTCAAAGGGCGGTGTGAGAGGGGGTCCTCAGCGGCTGGTGTGCGGTCAAAGGGGGGCCTCGGGCGGCCGTGGGCGCGGGGCGTCGAAGCTGCTCCTCGGGGCGACGGCGTCGATGCCCGTCTCGGACTTGAGATCCGCCTGAGGCGACACGGGCATGTGCGCTTGATTTGAACGCAAGCTCAATCGCGCGGCAACTACACGCAACTCGCACGCCAAACACCACGCATTGAGCGCATCCAAGTCTGTGAGCACTCGGTGCGCTTCGCGACGCGGCTAAACACGCCCTCTGCGCGCCAACGCAACACATAAAACAGCGCAGCACCATGTCCTGCTCGCACGTCGTCGTCGCCGAGGTCGAGCGCGGCGACTTCGGGAACCGGGGCAAGGACGGCGACTGGACGGAGCGCAGCGAGGCGCTCCTCGCCCTGCAGCGCCTCTTCGACGAGGCCGCGCGCCTCGGGCCGCCCGACGACCGCGACGCCGAGCCCGCGTTCGACGCGGAAGCGTGGCGCGCGCTGCGCCTGCCGCTCCAGTCGTCGCTGAAGGATCTGCGGTCCCAGCTCGTGCGCGAGGCCTGCGCCCTGCTCGTCTGCATCGCGCGGGCCTGCAACGACGGCGCGGGCGCGCCGGTACCGCACGTGTCGCGCGACGGCGGCCGCCGGTGCCTCCGCGACGCGGTGCCGACGCTGCTGGAGCTGCTGAGCTCCGGGAACCGGCTCAACGCGCGCTTCGTCGACGACTGCCTGCTGGCCATCATCGCGCGGTGCCGCTTCAAGCAGTTCGTCGCGGCCGTGAGCGAGTACGCGACGCCGGCGCGGCGGGGCAAGTCCGCGGCGGTCCGCGAGGCCTGCGCGACCTACGCGTCGGAGATCGTCACGCAGTGGGGCGTCGCCTACCTGGGCAAGCACGACGACGCCGTGCGCATGCTCCAGTCGACGATCGCGGCGCTCGTCGAGGACTCGTCGGAGCGCGCGCGCGCGTCCGCGCGCGACGCGTTCGCGGAATTCGCGGCGCGGTGGCCCGCGCTCGCCGACGACGTCGTCGCGCGCGTGGACCCGCGCGTGGGCCGCCTGCTCGCGAAAGCGCGCGAGTCCCGCGGCGGCGCGCCGCCGCCGCCGTCGCCCGCCGCGGCCGACGCGCCGCCGCCGCCGCGGCCGCCGGGCTCCGGCCGCGAGACGGCCAAGCAGGCCGCGCGGCGCCTCGCCGCCGCCGCGGCGCCGCCGCCCCGGCCCGAGCCGTCGCCGCCGCCGTCGCCGGAGCGCGACGCGGAGACGGGCTTCGATCTGGGCGACCGCGTCCGCGTGCAGAAGAGCCGCGCGGGCACGGTCCGCTTCGGGGCGGGACGAGAGAGCGACGTGCCCAACTTCAAAGGCTCCTTTCTCGGTCGGTTTCCACTCGTTTTGGCTGATTCTTGGACGAGCGATCATCTCCTGGAACGGTCTCGAAGCGTGGATGCTTTTTCCGGCACGCGCGCGCGCGGAACGCTCGCGTTGAAGCGACGTCGAATCTCTCTCGTCCCGCCCAGGTCCGCTTCGCGGGCGCGACGCACTTCAGCTCCGGCGCGTGGATCGGCGTCGAGCTCGACGCCGTCGACGGCAAGCACGACGGCGTCGTCAACGGGCGGCGCTACTTCCAGTGCGACGCCGCGCGGGGCTTGTTCGTGCGGCCGAGCCACGTTGCGAAGCTCGCGCCCGACGACGCGGCCGCGCCCGAGCTGCCCCTGGCCAACGCGCTCTGCTGCGAGCACAAGCACCTGCTCAAGGGCCTCATGACGACCCTGCAGGCCCAGCTCGAGGCCATCGGCGACTTCGAGGCATCGGCGATCACGCGCGACTCCGCGAAGCGGTACGCGGACGTCGCGGAATTCGCCGCGCCGCCGCTCGTGGAGCTCCTGAGCGACTACGAGCTGCGCGTCGCCGAGCTGCGCCACAAGGCCGCGCGCGACGCGCCCCCGGCGTCGCCGACGCGGGCCATCAACATCGAGCCCACGCGCGTCCACGACGACGACCCCAACTCCCCCGTCGACGGCACGGACCTCGTCGGCGAGCACAAGGACGTCGACGTCGAGGTCGACCTGCCCACGCCGGAGAAGCCCGACGACGACGACGACGCCGGGGGCGACCGGTCCCCCGCGCCGGGCATCGGCATCGCCGACGACTCCTAAGTTCTTACAGGAGCTCCTGGCGCTTCTTTCTAGCGGCGGCGGACGCCTCGGAGCGCGGCGTCCGAGCGGCGGCGGGCCGCGCGCCGTTCGTCTTCCATGTCGTCGTCGGAGTCGTCGGCGCGGCGGCGGCGCGACGACCGCGGCGCGGCGGCGTCGAGCTGGCCCTCGAGGCGCCGCTGGCGGCGCGAGAAGGCCTCGCGCGTCGGCGGCGAGACGTCGCGCGGCGCGCCGCGGGCGCGGTCGCGGGGCGCCGCGCGGGGCGACCGCGACCGCCTCGGCGCGGACCGCGGCGCGGCCGCCGCGGCGCCGCCGCCGAAGACGTCCTCCCCGCCGTCGTCGTCGTCGTCGCCCCCGGTCACGGCCCGGGGCCGCGACGCGCGGCGCGACCGCTTCACGGGCCGCGCGTCGCGCGGCGTCACGGACGCGGCGACGGCGCGCGGCTTCGACCGCCGCTTGCGCCGCGGCGCCTCGAACCAGTCGTAGCGGCACATGTTCAACACGTAGAGGATGATCTCGGGCGAGAGGTGGCCGACGAGCGTGCGCCGCTTCGTGTTGCAGAGCAGCAGCGTCATCGCGGCCTCGCGGAAGTAGGGCGGGAACTTCTCGTGCTTCGGCGGCGCCCAGAGCGCGTAGCGCACGCCCAGGTTCAGCCGGCCCACGAAGGCGCGGGGCCCGCGCCAGGAGCCCCACCAGACGCCGCGCGGCGAGAACGGCTCGTTGCTCAGGTGCGCGACGCCCGGGAGCACGCGCACGAAGAGGTCCTCCGCGTCGCCGCGGTCGTCGCAGGCGTCGTCGTAGACCACCGCGCGGTCGTCGGGCCGCGTCGAGTGGACGTAGACGCCGACGCGCCTGCCCGGCGCGATGCGGATGGGCTCGTCCAAGACGAGCTCGACGAAGGCCCGCGGCGACGCGTCGTGGACCTTCTCGTAGTGCCTCGTCCATTTCGCCGGCGCCTCCTCCTTGCCGCGGAAGCCGCCGGCCGTGCTCCAGACCGTCATGGGGCCGAGGTAGCCGCGGACCCAGACCGACTGGACGACGACGTACTCCACGGGCACCAAGTTCCGCGCGGCGACGTCGAACATGACGCCGCAGAAGGTGTGGTCCTCGTTGTCCGGCGTGTCCATGGTCCGCGTGTCGTGCACCGCCGTGTAGGTGGCGTTCTTCGTCAAGAGGAGGGCCGCCATGCTTCCCTTCGCAAGGACAGGCACTTTGTGAGCAGCTGCGGGTGTGTTTTGGTGATGTCGGAAGCACAGGCGCTTTCGGTGCGGATGAGCAGCTGCGGGTGTGTTTTCGTGAGGCCGAAGAGGCCACTGGGGTCGCGCTAGCGCTGCCACGAAGCGAGCTGCGCACGAAGAAGCGCTTGTGGCGGTCGCAGAGCTGGCTCTCTCGAAGGGCAACATAAGGATCGTTTGGATGCTGAAGCGAAAGTTGCTGCATTAAACGCTGGAGCATGGCCGGGATGCGGCTCCTCACCCTGGCGCTCTGCGCGTCTTTGGCTACCGGGAGGGGCAAGGGTGGAGAGTGCGACGCGAAGGACCACGACAAACGGGTGTGCGACAACAACAACAAGTGCATATGCTCCGGCGGCGACAACGGGCGGCGGCGGCTCTCGAACTACTCTACAGGGGCTCCGACGAGCGGCCCTGAGCCGCGGTACTATTACGACGATGCGCCTACCCATGAGCCTACCCATCGTGGTGGGTACTACTGGGCTGAACCCGAACGGGATTGCCAATGTCAGACGAAGCTACAGGGATGGCAGATCGGTCTCATCGTCGTGGCCGCCCTGTTAGGGGTTGTCTGCTTACTAGGGCTGTCGAAGACCTGTGAAGCAAACGAGGACGGCGGCGGCGGCGGCGGCCGCCGGGCGAAAGTGGGCGAAGAGAGACATGTCCGCGCCGAGCCGGGTCCTACCGGTCGGGCAGCTCCGATGGCAGAGGGCACCATCCTCGGTTACGAGCAGCCCCACATTGAAAATGGCGGCGGGTTTCGTCAAGCGCCGATGGCGGCGGGTACCGTCGTCGGTTACGCTCCAACCGGGATGGCTCTGGACGGCCCGCCGACAAGCGCGGCGGACGAGCTGAGGAAGCTCGCCGACATGAAGCAACAGGGCTTGCTCACAGACGAGGAGTTCTCGACGGCCAAGGCCAAGCTGCTGGCGCGCATGTAGGCCAGACATCTCTGTATAGAGCGGCTCGCGTGGCCCTGAATCGAGACGCCCCGCCTTCTAAACTCATGTATGTGCTAAATTGCCCTCGGGCCGCGAGGATCCTCGGCCTGGGAGCGGTACGCGGCCCAAGATGAAGTGACGGAGCAAACAGCAATAAAGCGGTTGCGGGGCAGCCAACAGGCAAACGATGGACCTCGCCATCGGAGACGCCTGCGAGTTCCTCAGCGAACGCGATGGTTGGACGGCCTGCCGCGTCACGCGGCGGCGCCTGGACCGGACCTACGACGTCTTCGCGCCGGCCACGGGCGAGCGGCAGCACTGCGTGCCGCGGCGGCGCCTGCGCACCGCGAAGCAGGAGACGGAGAAGCCGGCGAAGCTCGCCGTCGGCAGCCGCGTGCGCCGCGGCGACGACACGGGCCGGGTGCTGAACGCGCGGCGCGACGGCGCCCTCGACGTCGCCTGGAAGGGCGGCGCCGTCGACGTCGCCGTCGGCGCGGCGACGCTCTCGCCCGAGCGGCGCGAAGACGACGGCGGCGGCGGCGGCGACGACGACCTGTCGTCGTCGGACGGCGCGGGCCTCGACGCCGGGTCCCGCGTGTCCGTGCGCTACGCCGCCGGCGCCGAGTACGCCGGCACCGTCGTCAAGGCCGCGAGCCGGAAGCGCGCGCGCGCGCCCGTCGTCGCGGCGGGCGCGGCGCCCGGCTGCCGCGTGCGCCACCGCTTCCGGGAGACGCAGCGCGCCGCGGTCTACGACGTGCGCTTCGACGACGGCGGCGAGGAGCGCGACGTCGCCGCCGCGCGCGTCCGGCCCCTCTCGCCCGCGTCGGACCCGCGGCCCGCGTCGGACGCGGACGACAGCGACGTCGACGGCGACGAGTCGCTGCACGCGCGCTGGTGCGCGCGGCGCTCCGGCGCGCGGACGGCGCGCGGGACGACGCCCGCGTCGCCGGCGGCGCCGCCGCGGCCGCCGCGGAGGGGCGACCGCGTGAAGGCGCTCGTCGCGCTCCGGGGCTCCGACGCGCGGCTCTGGCGCGACGGCAACGTCGTGCGGGACCTGCCCCGGGAGCGGCGCGTCGTCGTCGCCTTCGACGCGGACGTCGGGCCCGCGCGCCTCGTCGACGCGGCCGACGTGCGGCCCTTCGACGAAGCCGGCGCGCGAAGTCCCGGAAAGGAGGTCTCTCGCGACGGCGTCCGGCCCGAGGACCTGACCGTGGGCACGGTCGTCCGCGCGCCCTTCAAGGGCTCGTCGCGGACCTACGCCGCGCGCGTGACGCGGTGCCGCCTCGAGGGCACCGTCGACCTCGTCTTCCTCGACCGCGACGGCCGCGACGGCCCCGGCGGCGGCGAGCGGCTCGTCCGCGTGGACCCCGACGCGCTCGAGGCGCGCGCCGCCGCCGGCGACGACGACGCGCCGGAGCCGCGGGCCGCCTGGGCCGTCGGCGACGCCGCCGACGTCGTCGGCGGCGGCGCCCGCGACCGGTGCCGCGTGACGAAAGTCCACCGGAACGGCCACTGCAGCGCGCTGGACCCGACGAACGGCCGCGTGCGCGTCGTGCCCGAGACGCGCCTGGAGAAGCCCCTCGACTCGCCGGCGGCGCGGCGGAAGGTCGAGGGCGCCGTCGTCGACCGCGCGCGACGCGCGCTCGCGTCGTACGTCGCGGGCGCGCCCGGCGGCGCCCGGGGCGCCTTCGGGCCCCTGAGCCTCGACGGCGTCGTCGACGCCGCGACGCTCGCGGAGCTCCTGGAGCGCGCGGGCTTCGTCGCGAACGACGCGGAGGTCGCGGCCGTGCGGCGGCGCGCGCGCAAGTACGGCGACGGCGACGAGGCCGAGGACGCGCTGAGCCTCGACGCGCTCTGCGCCTTCGCGACGGGCGACGGCTCGGAGGACTTGGCCGGCGAGCGCGTGCGCCGCGCGGCCGTGGCGCTGCGGCGCGAGCTCGTGCGCTGCGCGGCGCGCGACGGCGGACCCCCAGACGCGCGCGCGCTCTTCCGCGAGGTCGACGCGGACGGCGCGGGCTTCGTCGACGTGTCCAAGCTTTTGGGGCGCCTGGGCGCGCGGCTCTCGAAGAAGAGCCGCGGCGACCTGGAGAAGCTCCTGGACGTCGACGGCGACGGCCGCGTCGACGTCGACGAGTTCGTCGACTTCGTGCGCCTCGGCGTGCCGTCGCCGAAGAAGGACGCGCGCGACGCGCTCCAGAAGGTCGTCTACGACGAGCTCTCGGCGCTGTCGCGGCGGGCGTCGCGGCGGGGGACGCGGAAACGCGGGCAGGCGCCGTCGTTCGAGGACGCGGCCGCCGACGGCGGCGTCGACGCGGAGGCCCTGCGCGAGACGCTGGCGTCCCGGGGCTGGGGGGATTTGTTCGCCGACGGCTCGCGGCCCGCGCGCGTCATCTCGGCGCTCGACGCGGACGGCGACGGCGTCGTCGACGCGGAGGAGCTGGCCGCGTTCGCGGAGCGGGGCGGCGCGTCCGTCGACGACGAGCGGCGCGCGCTGCGGCGGCTGCGGCGGGGCCTGGCCCGCTGGCTCGACTCGCCCTGCGCGGCGCTGCAGCTGCGGAGCGTCGTCGCGAACGGCGGCAGGGGCGCCGGCGGCGACGCCGACGGCGTCGCCGCGCGGCTGCCCGCGGCCGCGCGCGCGGCGTTCCTCGGCGCGCGGCGGGACCTGAGCGCGCTGGGCGTCGGGCTGAACGACGACGACCTGGACCTGGCGGCCCTCGCCTTCGCGCGGCGGCGGAACCCGCTCGCGGCCACCGTCGCGGCCTTCGCGAACGAGACCGCAAAGTTCTTCGTGCGCGCCCGGTCGGCCAAGGGCGGCTTCAAAGCGCTCGGGAGCCACGGGGCCCTCGCGCGCGTGCTCGAGGCCGTCAACGCGCTGCCCAAGGGCTGGGCGCGCAAGGCCGCGGTCTCGACGGCGCGGTGGGACTCCCACTGCGTCCCGGCGCTCCGGAAGGCGGGCCTGAACCCGTCGGACTGCGCCGCGCTCGCGGCGGCCCTGACGACGCGCGGGGACGTGGACGTGGGCCGCCTCGAGCAGCTCGCCGACGACGAGCCCCTCGCGCGCGCGCTTGAGCGGCCGAGGCGGAGGCCGAAGACGGCCGCGCGGGCGCCGCCGGAGGCGCTCGCCGTCGGCGACCGCGTCGACGTCGCCGCGGCGGCGGCGCGGCGCTTCTTCAAGGCGACGGCGGCCGTGCCCGGCGCCGTCGTCGGCCTGCGGCCCAACGGCCGCGTCGACGTCCGGCCCGACGATCCGACGGCGCCGGCGCTCCGGGGCCTCCGCCGCGTCGACGTGGCCTACCGGGGCGCGCCGGACGCCGCGCCGCCGAGGCCCCGCCCCGCCGTGGCGGCCTGCGCCGCGCCGCCGGACGCGCGGCGCCTCGGCGGCGGCGCGGCCGGGCCCGCGGTGCCCGGCGCGGCGCCGCCGCGGCCGAACACGCGGCGCTACATCGCGCCGACGTCGACGCTGAAGCTCGAGTAAAGGGAAGCGTGTCGCGCGCCTTGAGAGCATCGTGCCGTCATCCGAGCCGACACTTCCCTGCACGATATGGGATCGGTGCCGCGAAAGTTGCCGCCGCGATCTATTCTGCACGCCTGCTGCCGCGTGGAGCCGGGCAATCATAGCCTCTCATTCCCAAACACCGTTCCAAGAAGAGCGCGCGCCAGCGTCTCGCCGACACCCGCGCGCGCGCCCCGGGGCCCGAGGCGCTCCCCCCGGGCCGCGGCGCTCCCCCGGGGCGCGGGCGAACGGTCCCGGCCGCCGCCCCCCCTTTTTTCCCGCTCGCGGGGCTGCCCCGCGCGCGCTACGCCCCCTTCGCCGCGTTTGCGTTCCGATCTTGATCCGCCCGCCCCCTCCTAGGTACTCTCCCACCCACTCTTTCAATCATGTCTGCCGATGATGAGGATGTCCAGGCGCTCGTGGTCGACAACGGCTCGGGCATGTGCAAGGCCGGCTTCGCCGGCGACGACGCCCCGCGCGCCGTCTTCCCGTCCATCGTCGGCCGCCCCAAGCACCCCGGGATCATGGTCGGCATGGACCAGAAGGACGCCTACGTCGGCGACGAGGCCCAGTCCAAGCGCGGCGTCCTCACGCTCAAGTACCCCATCGAGCACGGCATCGTGACGAACTGGGACGACATGGAGAAGATCTGGCACCACACCTTCTACAACGAGCTCCGCGTCGCCCCCGAGGAGCACCCCGTGCTCCTCACGGAGGCGCCCCTCAACCCCAAGGCGAACCGCGAGCGCATGACCCAGATCATGTTCGAGACGTTCAACGTCCCGGCCATGTACGTCAACATCCAGGCCGTGCTCTCGCTCTACGCGTCCGGCCGCACGACGGGCTGCGTGCTCGACTCCGGCGACGGCGTCTCGCACACGGTGCCCATCTACGAGGGCTACGCGCTCCCCCACGCGATCGTGCGCCTCGACCTCGCGGGCCGCGACCTCACGGACTACATGATGAAGATCCTCACGGAGCGCGGCTACTCGTTCACGACGACGGCCGAGCGCGAGATCGTCCGCGACATCAAGGAGAAGCTCACGTACATCGCGCTCGACTTCGACCAGGAGATGAAGACGGCCGCCGAGTCGTCGGCCCTCGAGAAGAGCTACGAGCTCCCCGACGGCAACGTCATCGTCATCGGCAACGAGCGCTTCCGCTGCCCCGAGGTGCTCTTCCAGCCCTCGTTCATCGGCAAGGAGGCGTCCGGCATCCACGACTGCACGTTCCAGACTGTGCGCCTCGCCGTCCAATCCAACGCTGCGCGCGCGCTCACCCCGCCTCCCCTCGCAGATCATGAAGTGCGACGTCGACATCCGCAAGGACCTCTACTCGAACATCGTCCTCTCCGGCGGCACGACCATGTACCCGGGCATCGGCGAGCGCATGACCAAGGAGCTCACGGCCCTCGCGCCCTCCACGATGAAGATCAAGGTCGTCGCCCCCCCGGAGCGCAAGTACTCCGTCTGGATCGGCGGCTCCATCCTCTCCTCGCTCTCGACCTTCCAGTCCATGTGGATCTCCAAGGCCGAGTACGACGAGTCCGGCCCGGCCATCGTCCACCGCAAGTGCTTCTAGGCGCTTTCGAGCTGCGGCAGGGAGAGTCTTCAGTGATTCCCCGGCGCGCACCAAACCTGTCTAATTTTGTCGAAGGCAGCCGAACTGGCACAGCGGCCAAGTCAGCGGCCGCGGACTTGGCCGCAAACGACGTCGACGTCGTCGAGGGCAACATAGCTGCAAGACCAGGATCGGCAGTTTCGTTTGCCTTCTCCGCAAACGATGAGCCTGTCTTCTCGGCTTTGATGCCCCGGCGCGCAAAGAAAGCAGCGGCTCCGGCTACGGCTTCCGTCGCCAGCGATGCGCGTGGTAGCCGCGCATCAGCTCCCATCGACCTTGCTAGCGATGAAGACGATGCACCGCGGTGCGTCGTTGGAGTGCCGCCGCATCCACTTTTGGGGAACGACCCACTCCCAGCGCGTGTCGCCGAGGCGTTGGAGGCCACCAAGAACTTCGGGCCCGATGGAGGTCATCCCCCGCCGCCTTCGAACGGGGCCGCGAAGAAGCGCAAGCGCTCAACGCCTCCGCCAACGACGCTCTTCTCGAACAAGATCCCGTCCAAGAGCCCGTCGTCGCCCAAGAAGAAGCGCGAGGCGCCGGTGAGCGCAAAGCGCGACGACGACGAGGGCTTCGAGTTCACGGGCTGCCAGACGGCCGCGGAGCGCACCGAGGCGAACCGGGTCCGCGCGGAGCGGGCGAACGACGTCCTCGAGCTCTCGTCCGACGACGAGGCGCCGGCGCCGCCCAAGCCCGACAGCGACGCGGGCGACGACGAGGACTTCGAGGACGACTTCGAGGAGGAGGAGGACGAGGAGTTCGAGGAGCCCGACGAGGAGGACGAGTCCGAGTCCGAGAGCGACGACGACGACGAGGAAGACGAGCGCTACGGCAACTGCTTCCGCTGCGGCCAGCCGGGCCACTGGGCGCGCGACTGCGACCAGCCGTACCGGCTACGGCCGCGGCTGCTACTAACCTCCTGTAATTACTGCGAGACCTTCGGCGCGGACGCCGCGCGGACCTGGTCCCCGTGCCGGTCCTCGGCGATCTTCAAGAAGGTCGCGAGCGAGATGTCCGGGTTGCGCGTCGGGTGGAAATTCGGGTCGTGCTTCGCGCAGAGCGCGTGGACGTCCGCCTCCGAGTGGCGCTCGCCCGTGAGGTGGAGGAGGACGACCTGGACGTCCGCGGGCGCGACGTGGCCGCCGCCCGCGGCGAGCTCGTCGAAGACCCGCGAGTAGGGCGTCGCCTTGGACGCGCGCCGCGCGGCGTCGCCGGCGGACGCGCGGCGCGCGGCGTCGCCGAGGGACGCGCGGCGCGCGGCGTCGGCGAGCTTCGGCGCGCCCTTCATCGGGTCGAGGATCTTCGCCTGGATGATGCTCTTGAGCCTCGACGGGGGCTCGTCCTCGGGCTCGGAGTCGTCCTCCTCGTCGGGCAGCCGGTCGACGAGCTTGGACGCGATGAAGGCCTGGCGCCGGAGCTGGATGTCGACGAAGTAGGGCGTGTCGGGCACGGCGGCCTCGATGACGAACATGATCGTGAAGATGATGTACTGGGCCACAAACGCCGCGGCGACGCGCTCCCGGTCGTCGAGGGCCCGGTCCGCGAAGGGCGTCCAGCGCACGGTGAAGAAGAGCGTGCACGTGTTCGTCACGACGGCGAGCGACGCGATGAACTTGTAGATCTGCGTCCAGGAGCCGATGGACGCCGCGGCGCAGGGCCACTGGCGCCGCTCGGAGTGGAGGAACTTGCGGACGTCGTTGTGGCCCTCCGTGAAGTTGGCGATCCAGCTCAGGGCGACGATGGCCGGGAGGCTCAGGATGTAGAGGGAGCTGAAGGAGAAGCGGATGGCCAAAACGTTCATGTCCGCGATGTTCGACTTGAGCTCGTCCGACTCCTGGAGCGCCAGGTCCCGCATGGCCACGTGGAACGCCTTGGGCTTGGGCGCCGCGTCCTTCGTCGCGAGCTTCTCCAGCGTCTTCGCGCGCGTCGCGCGCGCGCGGCGGCTCTTGATGCCCGGGAGCAGCGAGTCCGTGACGTAGTTCGCTAACGTCTTCGTGAGGAAGATGGTCCCCAGGGACTGCTCCAGGATCTTGTAGCACGTGCCCTGGTCCGCGTCCTTGTCCTCGTCGCCGCAGCCCTCGCGGCCCCGCTGGACGAACGCGCTGTAGGTCAGCGTCACGTTGAAGTTGAAGAAGTTGAAGAAGAAGAGCTTCGACGCGAGCGCGTTCATGTACCGCTGGTTCGTGCGGTGGTTCTCGCGGTCGTTGAGGTACGTCGCCAGGAACGAATAGCAGTAGTTCATGACCTCGATCTGGGCCGTCGCGCACGCGGACGCGATAAAAGCCGCGTACGCCTTCGTGAAGCCCGACGTCTCCTGCTCGAGGTAGACGCGCACGGCGATGGGCAGCGACGCGAAGGCGAGGACGACGAGGATGCAGAGAAACTAAGACCGCGGCGGAGACGCGCTCGCGCGCGCGCCGCTCGAGCGCGGGGAAGTACGTCTCCGGCCGGCCGTCCACGAGCGACGGCCGCGGCACGCCGACGAACTCGGGCCGGTCCGGCTCCTCCGCGTCGCCGCCGAGCATGCCCCAGCGCAGCGCGTAGGCGAACTGCTTCCGCTTCCAGGCCTCGAGCATCGTCGACGCCCAGAGGCACATGAAGAACGCGAATATCGGCATGACGCGCGACCGCCGCCGGTCGCGGTCGAGGACGTTGACCTCGACCCAGAGGCCCAAAGTGCAGAGCATGGACAGGGCCGCCGGCGCGCGCATCCAGGACGTCTTGTGCGCGACGAAGCCCAGGTACATGCCCACGCGCGCGCCGAGGTAGCCCCGCGTCTGATCGGCGCACGTGTCGAAGTGGAACATGGAGAAGCGCCGCTGCACGGCTTGGCGCGCGGCGTCGTCGTGGAGCGGGAAGCAGTCCTGCATGTCGCCGTCGAGGAGCATCTTGTCCACGACGAGCCCGCAGCCGCCCGCCTTCTCCTTCGCCTCGAGCATCGCGAAGAGCAGCTTCAGGCGCACGAGCTGGTTCGAGAAGCAGTGGCGGCCGCCCGGGGGCACGGCGTACAAGGCCTGCAGGGAGGGCTCCGTGTCGTACTTGGCAAAAATCGATTGATAGGGCGAGAAGCCGTGCGTGACGGCCGGGTCGTGGAAGATGGCGAAGGGCTTGATGCCGTGCTCGACGTCGCCGGCCCGCGCGCGCGCCTCGCACTCGGCCTCGTCGAGGGGCAGGGGCCAGTCGAGGTCGTCGGCGAGCTTCGCGAAGCGGTGCACGGACGCCCGCAGGAGGATGACCTGCTCCTCCTTCGTCGACGACACGAACCAGCTGTGTTCGACGCGGCCCTTGTTGAGCCGGAAGAGCACCGTGCGCACGGCCTTGGAGGGCTGCCCCCTGAGCTTCTTCTCGTCGTAGTCGAAGACCATGACCGCGTCGTAGCTGTAGCCGAACTTGCGCGCGAAGGCCTTCTCGCTCAGCTGCTTCTTGGGGGCTTTGTGGTCCTGGACCAGGGCCGCGAACTCCGGGGCCGGCATGCGGTTCTTCTGGGCGCGGAGCGGCGCCGCCGCCTCGGGCGGCGCCAGCTTCCAGCTCTCGTGCTTCGTGAGCATGATGTCCTTGTAACTGTTAGAGCATTCCGGGCGTCAAGCAGCCATAACGAGCGCGTCAACATGAAGGACGGAGCAGCCAAGGTGCCGCTGCCACACTAAGATGGATCTTCGGATGCTCCTCGGCTTGGCCGTGCGCGCGGCGGCGCTCTCCGCGCCGACGTCGCTCGCCGCCTCGAGCGACCCGCCGTCGTCGTCGTCCCGGGCTTTCTCTACGGGTCCGAGGACTTTGTCGGCCTCGCCGAGGCCCTGCGGCGCCGCGGCGTCGACGCCACCGTGGCGCCCATCGCCTGGTGGCACTGGATCCCGTGCCTCGGCGGGCGCTCGGTCCGCCCGATCCTCGAGCGCATCCAGTGCGCCGTGGACTACGCGTCGTCCGCGGACGTCGTCGCCGTCGAGGCGCCCGCGCCGGCCTACACGCCGCTCGACCTCTGGCGCGACTTCCGCCAAACGCCCGGCGGCGTCATGGCCGTCGGCGGCTCGGCGGACCCCGACGAGTTCCCCGACGTCGCGCCCTGCGGCGGCTTCGGCGACGCGCCGCCGCCGCGGCGGGCCTGCGCCATCGTCGGCCACAGCGCCTCCGGGTGGATCAGCCGCATCTTCCTGTCCTCCCGAACCTACGGCGGCAAGGCCTACGGCGGCTCCGGCGGCCGCGTGTCCAAGCTCGTCACCCTAGGCAGCCCCCACGCCGCGTCCGAGGGCGTGGCCTTCGCGAACGTCGCGTGGGCGAACCGGGAGGCGGCGCCCGTGCCGGCGCTCGCCGTCGCCGGCGGCGGCTTCGGCGGCGCGACCGCGGAGAGCTTCACGACGGACTCCTACGCCTTCTGCGGCGCGCCCGACGCCGAGACCTGCGACGGCGACGGCGTCACGCCCGTGGCGTCCGCGCTCGACCTCCCGGGCGCGGAGACGCTCCTATTGGAGGGGGCGACGCTCCACGCGCCGCAGTTCCCGCGGTGGCTCGCGCCCCAGCTCCACGACGCGGGGGTCGCGGGCGGCACGCCCTGGTTCGGCGACGACGCGCGGCTCGACGCGTGGGCGCCCTTCCTAACCGACGCCTAGGCGACGACCGCGCGAATGTCCGACTGCCGCCATGGTAAAAGCTGCACAGCAGACGCCCCGTAGACTTCGCGCGCGCCTCGGTCGAGGGCGGGGCCCTAGAACGCCTCGGCGAACATGATCGCCGCGGCGCCGATGAGGTAGTGGAAGATGTTCTCCTTGCGGACGCCGAGGAGGCACGCGTGGCGGTCCGGGCCGATGGGCACCGCGGCGATCACGAAGGTCGCGATGGCCGCCAGGGTCAGCTTGTCCTCGGCGGCGTGGGCCGCGCCGGCGACGGGGACGACGAAGGCGCCGACGTTGAAGAGGATCTTCAGGACCTCGTCGGCGGCCTCGGGCGCGCTGCGCCTCGCGGAGCAGACGGCCGAGCAGAACACGGCGAAGGAGAAGGCGTCGGGCACGAAGGGCGCGGCGGCGGCCCACGTCGAGGCGAAGTGGAAGCCGACGAGCGGCAGGCCGAGGTAGGCCGCGAGGTCCGCGAGGTCGCCGTTCGCTTGCGCGAAGAACTTCTCGCTGTAGCCGAAGCGGAGCACGCCGACGAGCGACGCGGCGACGACGAGCCCAAATCCCGCCGCGGCCTGGACCGCGCCGGCCTCGTAGGCCCGGTAGCTCGCGTAGGCGTGGGCCGTGGCGCTGAACAAGTCAGAAAGGGCCACCGTGGGGTACAAGCCGTCGCGGCCCGTCGTCCAGGGCTTCGCGGGCTCGTCGGCGTCGGCGGTCTTCTTGCCGGTCTTGAAGAGCTTCTTCGGCGTCGTCTTCTTCTTCGTGGGGTTCGCCTCGGCTTCCGCCTTCCTCGCGGAGCGCGTTTGCACCATGTCGTTTGAACTGTCTTCGGGTGTTCTCGCGAGCGAAGCGCGCCGACGCAACGGGATCGAGCAGTCCAACGTCGACCTACACCTCCGTGGACATGGCGTACGCGAAATGCTTGAAATGATGGGATCCGAGGCGAAGATGGAGGAGCAGGCGTTGCTGTCGGACGCGGACAGGGCCGCCGAGGTCGCGAGCCTCAAGGCCGCCGAGGCGGCGAACCTCGCCACGGCCAAGGCGCTCTACGAGCAGCAGAAGATGGAGGGCGACGAGAAGGAGGCTAGGGGCCGCGCCGAGTCGGCCGAGCTCCTCGACCCCTTCGCGCTGGGCACGGTGGCCATGCTCGTCGGCGCCTTCGTGGACAACGTCTGCAGCGCGCTCTACGACGTGCCGTTGAAGTATTATCTGTACGACGATTTGGGCGTGAGCGTGAGAGCGTACTACGTGCTGTCGGCGTGCACGTCCATCCCGAGCTCGCTGCTGCCCTTCTTCGGGCTGCTGGCTTTAGTCCCCATCCGGGGCTGCCACCACAAGTTCTACTGGATGCTGGGCTACGCGCTGAGCTGCGCGTGCTACCTGGTTTTGGGCACGTCGTCGGGCAGCCCGTCGTTCTCCGCGATCGTCTGGTGGCTCACGTGCGCGGCCGTGGGCTCGTCGCTGCGGTCGACGATGCTCGCGATGATGATGGTGGAGCGCACGCGCCACGAGACGCTGGCGAACCGCGGGTTGTTCTCGTTGTATTTGGCGTCGGCCAGGGCAGGACAAGAGAGCGAAATTCCCAACTTCAAAGCCTCATATCTCGGCCGTTTTCCACTCGTTTCGGCTGATTTTTGGACGAGCGATCATCTCTCGGAACGCTCTCAAAGCGTGGATGCGTTTTCCGGAACGCGCGCGCGCGGAACACTCACGTTGAAGCGACGTTGAATCACCCTTATCCTGCCCAGGCGTCGGCGTCGTACTGCGGCGCGTTCGTAGGGCAGGCGCTCGCGTCCGTGCTCTACGAGAACGAGCTCGGTCTGGGCTCCTGGGGCGGTTTCACGATCTCGCAGATCTTCGTGATCTGCGGCGTGGCGCCGCTCGTTGTCGTCGTCCCGCTCGCGTGCTTCCTGAAGGAGGTGCCGTCGATCGCGGCGCGGAGCACCAAGTCCGTCGCGGCGCGGGCCAGGTTCGAGTTCGTCGCCATCTGGGAGACGCTCCAGGACAAGCGCATCGGCTGCATCCTGAGCTTCGGCCTCGCGCTCTACCTTTTGACGGTCACGAACGCGGCGCACTCGTACCTGCTGCTCGACGGCTGCGACATCTCCGAGCCGGAGTACTGCTGGCTGAAGATCGTCCAGGACATGACGCTCTGGGGGGTCATCGTCTTCTACCGCCAGTACCTCTTCGAGATCGACCTCCACACGCTGTTCGTCGGCGCGTACGTCGTCAGGACGCTCGCGAAGCTCAACGACTGCGTCGCCGTCGTCGCCGGCGGCGCGAACAGCGCCCTGCCCTGCCTCTTCTGGGTCGGCGGCGACGACGTCACCTATGACTCTTGCGACGTCGTCGCCGCGGAGGTGCTCACGCTCGCGCTGTTGCTCGCGCTAGCGAAGCGGAGCGCGCGCGACGCGTCGGAGCGGTCCGCGTCCATGTCCTACCTCGCCATCGCGTCGATCCTGAACGTGGCGTCGTCGATCTCCGACATTATTGATATTTACCTCGAGGACATCTGGGACGTGAACACGGACAAGCTCGAGGCGCACGACTACGGCGGCTACTGGCGCCTCGAGCTGCTCACGGCCCTCGTGCCGCTGGCCGTGCTCGGCTTTTTGCCGTTGCTGCCTAGGACGCGCGAGGCCGCGGCGACCAAGGAGGACGGGTGGTTCGCGCCGTGGAAGGACGCGGGCCACGGCAGGACCGCGGCGTTCCTCTTCGTCGCCTTCTGGGTACTCGGCGACGTCTACGTCTTCGTCTACTCCATCGAGACGGCGTAGCGTAAGAGTGTGGTGCTCTCCGCGGGGCTTGGGAGCACGTGTGGATGCGGTGCGGGATGGCATGCAAGGTCATGCAGTCGTGCTGTTGCCAGTGTTGGCGAGCGGCGGCCCGGGCGCTCTAGGCTCTGACTGACGAGTCGCCACAAAGCCGTTCGACGGGCGACGGCGACGGCGCCGGACACGCTCGAGGAGTGAGTCGACTTCTTCCGCGACCCGGACGAGTTCTACAACGCGACGGTGTCGGCGCTCCTCCGATAAGCGCGATGAGCTCGTCTCCCATCGTCGAGGTGGGCGACGCCGACCCCCTCGCGGGCACGCACGCCGCCGCCGCCGAGGCGTCGTCGAGGAAGCCGTCCCGCTTCACGCTCAAGAAGCGGCCGGCGCCCGAGGCCCTCCACCGCCAGACTCTGCGGGCGCTCCTCGCCGCGTCGCCGGCGACCTTCGACGCGACGTTCACGGAAAGGCGCCTCGGCTTCGCCCAGGGCAGGAAAAGGGTGATTCAACGTCGCTTCAACGTGAGTGTTCCGCGCGCGCGCGTTTCGGAAACAGCACCCACGCTTCGAGAGCGCTCCGAGAGATGATCGCTCGTCCAAAAATCAGCCGAAACGAGCGGAAAACGACCGAGATAGGAGCCTTTGAAGTTGGGAATTTCGCACCCTTTTCCTGCCCAGGCTTCGCCGTCGTCCTCGCGCGCTACGCGTCGAGCGGCCGCGCCTTCGTGCGCGTCACGTCGACGACGCCCGGCGTCTGCGAGGCGAGCGTCAAGCCGACGGACGAGCTCGCGGCCGTCGACGGCGAGCCCGTGCTGTCGCCGGACGGCGCGTCGCTGGCGGCGCTCATCGGCGGCATCCTGAGCGGTCCCCGGCCCCTGACCTTCACCTTCGCCGGCGGCGCGCGGCGGGTCGCAGCGTACGACGCGCAGGAGCGGAAGCGGTCCAGCGAGGGCGCGGACGACGCGCGCGCGCGGTCCTGCCGCGAGGCCTGCGGCCGCGCGGAGGCGTTGCTCGAGGAGTGCCGCGAGTGGAGCCGGGGCGGCGGCGGCGACGCCCACCTCGCGGCCGCCGCGGGCAGGTGCGCCGCGGAAGCCGACGCGGCGGAGGCGACGGCGGGCGACCACGGCCCCGCGCGCGCCTGGGCCGACAGGGCGCGGAACGCAGCGACGCGCGCGGCGACGCTCAGCCTATTGCGCGCGGGCGACGCCGGCGCGCTCGTCGACGCGTGCAAGCGCGGCGCGCGCGACGCCAAGGCCGCGCGCCGCGCCGCGGAGCAGATCGACAACCTCGACGGCCCCCTGCTCGTCGCCGCCGTCGAGGCCCGGTGCGCCAGCGCGGCGTGCCACGCGGGCGCGGCGGGCGACGCCGCCGCGGCGCTCCTGGCGCGCGCCGCGGCGCGGATCCCCGCCGCGGACCGCGGCGACGTGCCCCCGGGGTCGAAGGCGACGTTGTGCGGCGTCGACGACCTCGACGGCGTCGCGGCTGTCGTCGAAAGCTACAGTCCCGAAAGCGACCGCTACGAGCTCCGCGCGGGCGACGGCGCCGTCTACGCCGTGCGCCGGAACAAGTTCGCGCTCGAGGACGCCGGCGGCGCGGACGCCGCGCGCGGCGCGCGGCTCGCGCGTTTGGCGGCCGCGAATCACGCGCGCGTGAGCGAGCTCCTCGCGCGCGCGCGGAGCCGCAAGCGGCGGCCCCGGGCGCGCGAGGTCGCCGAGGAGGTGTCGCTCGAGGAGCGGCGCGCGGACTCGCCGACGTACGCGCGGTTCCAGACGGACGACCTGCGGAACTCCGAGCCGCTCTCGTACAACTCGCTCATGTCCCTCGACGACGACGAGAAGGACGCGGCGGAGGAGACACGCAAAGACTCGCTCATGTCTTTGGACGACTCGAAGTCGGGCCGCGCGCCGTCGCCGTGGTCCGTCTACGAGGCCGCGTTCGTCCCAGGGCAGGAAAAGGGTGATTCAACGTCGCTTCAACGTGAGTGTTCCGTGCGTGCGCGTTTCGGAAACAGCACCCACGCTTCGAGAGCGCTCCGAGAGATGATCGCTCGTCCAAAAATCAGCCGAAACGAGCGGAAAACGACCGAGATAGGAGCCTTTGAAGTTGGGAATTTCGCACCCTTTTCCTGCCCAGGTTCGTGCGGCGCGAGGTCGCCGCGGGGCGCCTCACGGACGCGAGCCTCGAGGACATGCTCGAGCCGGAGGACGCCGACGCGCCGCCGCCGCTCCCGCCGGCGCCGCTCCTCGTCGAGGAGGAGGAGGCGGAGCTGCTGCGGGAGCCGCTGATGTCGCCGGGGGTTCCGGCGCCGACGCGGATCCGGGAGGAGGCGGAGGCGGCGCCGCCGGCGCCGGCCGAGGAGCCGCCGACGCCGCCGGCGACGCGGAGCCGGCCGTCGTCGCCGCGGACGCCGCCGGCGACGCGGAGCCGGCCGTCGTCGCCGCCCGCCGAGGCGGCGCCGGAGCCCCCGGCGCGGGAGCCGTCG